TTGAACTGCCAGCCGTCTGGTTAGCAGGCAAGTGTCTTAGCCACTATGGTACCAGAGCTCCTGAAAAAGTTCTATAGAGACCAGAATTTTAAAAAATAAGAACTAAATTATACATCCATATGAAGTTATTTAATGATGATCTACTCTTATGTAGTGCAAAACCCACTGCCATCAAGGCCATTACAATCCATCAACACATATGTGGGAAGTAGCTAAGGAAACAGAAGCTAGGGAAACAAAATAGAGTGAAATTTGCAGCTTAAAATCAGAATACTCTGCTTTGACTTTCCTTGTTATTGAAATACAAATAATTGGTAAGGAAGAGACAGTGTACATTTCTAATATATACACATAAAAATAATGCAACTGAACCTGTTCCAGGTATCCAGGCAAAGGAAGACTAGTAAGAAATATCGGTTCCTTTAATGGGGGAAGTTTGTATGGAAGTTTCTGATCCCAATATTTCAGTGGTGACCTGAGAAGACAAAGTTCATTAGATGCATGGTCACAAATATACTTATTTATGTGTACATAAGTATATCGATATTAAAAAGACAATTAAAAAACAAAGTTCTCCACTGGAGAAAATAATACAAGTGGGAAGACTGAGGCACCTAGACATTCATGGCCACCAATTTCACCGAAATCCCTAACCCTGCTCACTTATTTTCCCTTCCCCTTTTATCTCCTCTCCCTCTCATTTTTGGCATTTCCTTCTCTATTTGGATCCTTCCCATGCATCTGTAGTTAAACATGCTCACATCATTCCAGTTAAAAAAAGAAAAGAAAAAGAAAAAAGAATCCTCACTCCTTGCATTCTGAATCCCTACCAGTAGGTAATGTCTTCTTCTTCTTTTTTTTTCTAAACAGTTAAACTTCTTCAAACCATAAGCTTCACCAGAAATTGGAAACTACTGTGCAAATTCCATTTGGAGATGTGATTTAACCCATATAGTATTTTTTAAAAATTAAATCAGTTATGAATGCTTAAAAATTTTTTTAAAAAGAAATTTGAGTTTCCAATATCTTGTGAAAAACAAATGTTTGGCAACAAATGAGTAGCTGTTGTCCCTGTTAGTAGGGGTATGTGCCCGCCAGTTTGTAGCAGCTCCACTACTTACTACTATTTGCATCTAATCTGCTTGCCTCATGAACTTTAACCTGGCCACTATAGCATCTTTGTTTGTAACATCTGAATTACAGGCAAGTTCTTAATTTCCTCACCTCTCATCTCCTCAGTGCCCTGCAATTGGCTTCCACTCACCCACTCTACTGAAACCATTCTTGCCAAGATCACCAATGACTCGCACAACCTATATCTGACAGACTGTTCAACCCTTGTCTTGCTTGATTCTAAGCACCATTTAACCCACTGGCCACACCCTCCTGGGACAATCTCTCTCCCATGGGAGCCTCCCTGGAACTTCCCCATCTTGGCTCTCCTTTCACCTCTCTGTGGATCCTTCTTTTTCAATCTCCCTGGAGGCCCCTCTTCTGAGGTTTATTTGTTGGTGTTCCTCAAGGTTTGGCCCTAAGCCCTCTGCTTTTTCATATGACTCTTTTGGTGAGCTCAAACATATCTATCTTTAGGAGTGACCTGTTTGATGAATGCCAGAAATGTATATTCAACTTCCTACCATAGACACTTCAAATGCAACATGCCTCAAACCTAATGATTCCCTTTTACTGCAAAACAGCTTCTCTTCCAGTGTGCCCTGACTCAGGGATGACACCATAATCCACTTCTGTGACCCACGCCAGAGAGCTAGAATTCATCTTTGACTTCTCTCCTTTCCTCCCTCTGGGTCAAACCAAACTCACTTCTGTGGAGTCATTTCTGACTCATAGACCCCTCCTTGGGTTTCCGAGGCAGTATCTCTATGGAAGTAGATCACCCAACCTTCCTTCCGAGGAGTGGCTGGTGGGTTTGAACCACCAGCCTTCTGGTTAGCATAGCAGTCAAGTGCCTTAAGTACTATGCCACCAGAGCTCCTTCTATAGGTATAGATATGGAGATATCTTTCCAGCTCCCAGCATAGTGCATGGAACATAGAAGATACTCAATAAAAAATATTTGACTTACTGAATGGTCTCACCTGAAGAATTTCTGGAGTTTTTCTTCAGTCTCACAAATATATATACGATCACGATATTCTAAAGCATAGTTAATGTTACCAGGTATTAGGGCTTCATATCTGAAAGACACACAAAATATCAATGTGTTATATGTAACACTGCAGAAATAAAGATGTCAAAAACATTTTTTTTCTACCTATGCAATTTGGTGAAGAAATAAAATAGTTTTTAATTAAACAATAGGGATTTTTTAAAAAATCAAGATTTTATCAAGATTGCTACATGAACCACCATTTATTCTCAGTGGACATATCATTCTGTATTTCCCCAAGGGTGAGGACTTACCTTTGTTTTCCATCCTGGTAGGTCACTGGACAGTATCCTTGGAGCTCGGCACACTTAGGGAACCGACACTTCAGCTCTGACAGTGTCAGCCTTTTGGGGATCATGTCAGCAGATGGGAGTGGATAAGGTGCTAATGGAGGCACATACAGTTCTGGGTTCTCCAAGAATTTCTATACAAAAAACAATTATAGTAGGAAGACCTTTAAAAGTAGGAATCCAATGCCAATCAGACATCCACTGAGAATCTCCAGCCACTCTCCCCTTTTTCAGTAGCAAGGTCCTGCCCTTCAAACCACCTGAGAGATGCTCTCTGCACTAAAATAACTTCTTCCCTTGTTGGAAGTTTCTCGCCAGTGCTCACATCTAAGTTCTCTCCTAATCTCATTGATTCATGCATTCATGCAAAAAATAGTTGTTGAGCTCCTACTATGTGCCAAGCACTGGAGAATACTATCTGGCCTATCTTCCTGTCCTGCAGTATATTAAGTAGTTGGATACCCTTGGCAGGTGAGTTACCTTCTCTAGCTCTGTTAACTCTCTGTAAAATGGAAGGGTAGACCAGATACAAGAGTTTTAATGTCACTTCCAGTTTTAAAATTCTGTGATTATCATTTGAATAAGCAGGAAGAAATAAATGCTCCCTTAATGAAGGGACCCTCCCCTAAAAAAAAAAATCTAATCCTTCAGAGGAAAATAAAATAGTAAAATGTCCAGAGGCATCTGTTTAGCTCTCATTATTTTCAAGCTGCCAACTTTTTTTTTAATCATCAAATTATAGATAATATCAGAGCAAATCTGTATTCTGTTTCATTTAAACAAAAATATAAGGCACACGGGAATTCCAGTAATAGAGAATTTTTAAAGGCACAAGAGACATACATCACCTCTTGCTTCATTTCTTCTGCCTTTGACTTCCCTCTGCACCACTTAGAGCTGATCCCCAGGACGCCCACCTACAGGCTGAGCCCAGATTCTCATTTTCCGTCAGGGGCTTACTGATGGGTCTGCTTCTCATCACTGACCCTGGACTCTGCTTTGTACCAAGAATATGTCCTGGGATGCAGTCTCATGAACAATTTCTGAGTTGCCTCATTGGTCCTGGAGTCTCAGGTTCTGATAATGGGGCTACTGATCCTATTTGATGAATGCCAAGATAAGACATTTCTTCCCCTAATAAATATTTGGAGTTAGGAACAAACTTACATTCAGTTTTTCCTGAGAATTCATTTTATAATAATGCCCTCTGAACTCTGCTGCAAATTCCAAGGACTTGGTTGTAGAGCAGTCAATCAATTCGTAGGATTCCGCCAGGCTGACAGGGCAGAACTGCCCACATTCTCCCAGGTGAGAAATCAGCTCTTGTGGTGTGATACATAACTTGTCAATGCAGGCAGCTTTTCCTATTATTAACAAATCAACTATTGTTGGTTATATACAGAATACATATTTTCTTTTTGGTAGAAAACAGTGACTTTAAAAAATTAAAATACTTCATTTATACAAGCACTACACCAATCCATACACATGGTAAAATTCCAAACAATAAAATTAAAAAGTGAAAATTTCTATTTATATCCCTGCCCTCTCAATTTAACACCCTTCCTGAGAGGTAAGAGCCGTTGGGTTTGGATCCTTTTCAGCCTTTTTCCTATACATTTGCATAAATACATAGTTTTTTACATATAGGAATACGAAGATGCAATCATTATCAGAGTCTTCACTGAATTCTTCATAGTACATTTTCTTATTCACACTGCTTCCTCATTCCATATTGTATCTTCTCGGTAGTTTCCAGAGTTAAATAAAGTTACCAAACAAATGTCTGTGAGACCTTTTACAGATAACTTCTTTGAAGTCATCACTCTTTTTTTTTTTTTTTACAGATGTCAGATGTAGATAACTCTTCTTCCATTTTGTTTCTTTTGAAGTCAAGAATTTCTATTATTATTTAATAGGAGTATATAATAAAACATTTTCCTTCACAGATTTCAAATATAGATGGAAAGACATTTCAGTGCTCAAGTTTAATTTTTCTATAGGCTCAACATTCATATCACACTACAATGTATGCAAATTGTAATAATTTTAATTCTGATTCCTAAACAAAATTTTGCCATGTGTCATTCCACAGACCACTGCCCCCATGTAAACTACCCCAAGCGTTCTGTAAAATAGCTTCTTATATGGGATTCCAAACACTATAAGCTCTTCTAGGAAGAAACCGTGTATAATTTTTATATGCTAGGTTCACATAGGCATTCAATAAATGGTAACTTGTTAAGTAGCAGTCAGGAATTAGAACAAATAAATATGCTCACATTGGATAGTGGTCTGTATTTAAAATGGAGTCCCTGGCTGGTACAGTTAACATGATCAGTTGCTTACCAAAAATTGGAGGTTCGACCCAGAGGTGCCTCAGAAGAAAGACCTGGTGATCTAATTCTGAAAAATCAGCCATTGAAAACCCTATGACACACACAGGGCCACCATGAGTCAGAATCAACAGCAACTTCTTTGGTTTTTGGAGACAATGAAAATACTGATTATGATTGTGGGAACAGATGTTCAAATTGAATGAATTATGGTGCCATGAGTCAAGCATGTACAGACTTTAAATTTGTATTTTATTTCTATTTCTTACCTGATTTTATTCTTTCCAAGTATGTCTGGATACATTTATTCACCATTTGGATCTTCTTAGTGACTTCATTCCATACCCACCATTTGCTATGAAATCCATCAATCACATACCAGTTCTGATGTTGTTCTTGATAATAATGTCTAATCTCACTGATATTTTTTCGGTGCTTTGAGTTCTTGACAGCTGTAATCTGTGCACTATTGTGCAATGGGTAAGGAAAACTAATAGAGAAAAAGGGAACAAATGGAAAACATTGTTAAAAACATACCTTTTATTATTAAATGATTAAAGTTCATTTCTTTGTCTTTTTTTTTTTAACCTCAGTTGCTCTTTTTTTTCCAGGAACAATCTCTTGAAAATCTCCTTGGAAGGTACACTCAGCTCAAAGATGATCATGGGGATGACTGTCCTGGCTTCCAAGAGATTCATTTGATGTTTAGTTACAGGGTATCCGTCGATGACAACACTAACAAGGAGAAACATGAAAATAAAAATTACAGATTAATGTCTTATCTTTCCTTCTGTGTTCAAAAACCAGTCTCTTTCTAAGTAGCCCCATGCCTTTCCTTATGTAACTCGATTCAGTGTTGCATTTCACCTTCTTAATCTCTATATCCTTAACTACAGTTAGCCCAAGAATCAGGAGGTAGGCAGCATACATACAGACCCTGCTCAGAAAGTGGAGATGGGAGAGAACTCTGAATTCAAATCCTTAGATCATAGAGCTAGGTTTTCGTATAATTTGAGAGCTAAAACCCATTATGCCTTGAACACTCTGTTATTCAACTGGTGTTATTATTCCAAGCGTGAAACAGTGGAAAGGATACAGGCTTTAAAGGCAGATAGATCTAGATTTGAAACCTGATTTGTCTTCTCAGAGCCTCAGTTTTTAGTAAACCCATAGAGTTATTATTATTTAAAAAAATTTTTATTGTGATTTGGGTGAAAGTTTACAGAGCAAATTCACTTTCCATACAGCAGCTCACATACACTCATGACACCGACTACAATTTCCCACAATGCAACAGCTCCCTTCCCATTTCCTCCCCATAGTTACCTCTTTCCTGTGTCCTTCCCTCCCATGCACTCCTGCCCCCTGAGCTGTCTCCCTGTGCATACACAGCCCTTCTATTCTCCCATGATTGATTTCTCCAAGGAGTTTATCTACCTAATGTACATGTTCGGCTAATATGCCTCTCTTCTGTTTGGCTGGAAGCCATAGGAGTGGTTTTAATTCCAGACTTGAAGGGCATCTAGGGGCTATAGTCTCAGTGGTTCCATATGGCTCTATCAAACCAACAAACCTGGTCCTTTTTTTTTATTTAATGACTTTGAGTTTTGTTCCACATTTTTCTCCCAACCTATCCAGGATCTCTGTAGGATCCCTCTGAGTGGTTGACAGTGGTTGCCAGGCACCATCTAGTTCTTTTGGTCTTATAGTAGTACAGGCTGAGGACTGCATGGTGTACCAGTCCCTTGGACTAACTGTTTTTATGTGTCTTTGGTTTTCTTCATTCTTCTTTGTTCTGGATGAGAAGAGAGCCATCATTGCATCTAGATGGCCACTTGCAAGCTTTTAAGATCCCAGTCGCTACTCGCCAAAGTAGAAAGTGGAACAATGTTTTTGTGTAGTATGTTAAGCCAGTTGAGCTTAATGTCCCCTGTGACTATGGTCCTGAGTCCACAAGTCCAACAACTCATTCCCTCTTGATAGCTGGCTGTGGCCAAGAAGTGACTACAAACTTGCCCCTTGTCAGCTCTACTATTTACCTGGGAATTCTTATAGAACATACAAATACACTTGTAGAAACACTGTCTGCCAACCCTATATATGGTCATGGGCATACTACCCCCTAAAGAGACATACCTAATAGTTCAACCTGTCTACCCATCTGTCCACCCGTATATCCATGTTTGCCTTCACTGACAACGTAGTACCTTTTGTGAAAAAGGGTTCATCTTTGTTGTCTGCACCTCCCATGTACCTCTCTCTGTCTTCCTCTTCCTCAACGCCATGGTGTTGATCGCTCACATTTGGTACATTGCCCTTCTCTTCACCCAAATCAATACCTTTCTCTACCTACTAACATTGTTCCCTCCCCTCCCCTCCTACCCCTGGTTACCTACAAAGAAAATTTCCTTCCATAGATAAACCTTTCCTTGACTTTTTACAATAATGAACTAATACAATATTTGTCCTTCTGTGATGGACTTATTTCACTCAGCATAATGTCCTCCAGGTTCATGCAAGTTCATTCATCAGTGTTTTACAGACTCTACATTATTCTTTAGTCCTGCATAGCATTCTATTATATATATGTACCATAGTTTGGTCAACCACTCTTCCGCTGATGGGCACGTAGGTTGTTTCCATCTTTTTGCTATTGTAAATAGTGCTACGATGAACGTGAGTGTGCATATATCTGTTCCTGTCCTGGCTCTCACCTCTCTAGGATATATACCTAGTAATGGGGTTGCTGGGTCAAATCGTATTTCCAATTCCAGCTTTGTAAGGAATTGTCATATTGCTTTCCATAGTGGTTGTATCACTTCACAGTCCCACCAGCAGTGTATGACAATCCCAATCTCTCCACATTCCTGCCAGCATTTGTTATTTTCTGTCTTGTTGAACCTTGCCATCAGTGCTGGGGTGAGATGGTATCTCATTGTTGTTTTGATTTGCATGTCTCTGATGGCCAGTGATTGTGAGCATCTCTTCATGTATTAGCTGGCCACTTGAATATCCTCCTTGGTGAAGTTTCTATTCATATCTTCTGCCCATTTTTCAATTGGATTGTTAATTCCTTTGGTGTTGAGGCGTTAGACTTTTCTATAAATCTTAGAGATAAGTCCCTTGCCAGATATGTAATTATTGGCAAATATGAATTTGTTGCTGTCATATTTGTTATGTACTTTCTCACGGTGTCAATTTCTTTGTTCCATATAATTTTCTGTGCTGAGCTTGTTTTGTTTATGAATCGTGTTATCATTTCCTTTGTTGCTATTGTTTTAATATTTGCTAAATATTTGTGCTGGTCCTCTTTTTTATTTTGATGTGAAGGTTTATCATTTTTCTTTGAGGTTACCCTGTGATTTATAGTTTTCTTTCCAAGTTTAGAACAGTCTGTTCTATCTTGTAGTTGTCCTGACATCTCTACCATCTAGAAGTTCTGTAACAACACAGTTTTTTTCCCCTTTTTGGTTTGTAGTTGTCCTCATTTGTCAGTTGATGTCTCTGGTTCCCTGTTTACAATCTTGTAGGCTTATTTACTTCCATAGCTGGGTTGGTTTCTGGATTATGTCATCATGTGTGTTAATGGTCAGTTGTTGTTGGCTGTTGCTTCTCTGTCCAAAGGACTCCCTTTAGCATCTCTTGTAAGGTTGGTCTGTTTTTAACAAATTCCCTTAATTTCTGCTTATCTGGAAATGTCCTAATTTCACCATCATATTTGAGGGACAGTTTTGCTGGATACATATTCTTGGTTGGAAATTTTTCTCTTTCAGGGTTTTATATATACCATCCCAGTGTCTTCTTGCCTGCATGGTTTCTGCTGAGAAATCCAAGCTTAGTCTTATTGGTTGCCCCTTGTAGGTAACTTTTCATTTTTCCCATGCTGCTTTCAGGATTCTTTATTTGTCTTTGGTTTTGGTGAGTTTGATGATGATGTGTCTTGGTGATTTTCTTTTGGGGTCTATCCTGTTTGGGGTTCGTTGGACCTCCTGAATGGATATATTCTCATCTTTCATCTTATCAGGAAAGTTCTCTTCCAACAAATCTTGGACAATTTTCTCAGTGGTTTTATTTTTCTTTTCCTGTTCTGGAATTCCAGTGACATGTAGGTTATTCCTTTTGATGGTATCCCACATGAACCTTATACTTTCTTCATTTTGTTTTGATCTTTTTTTCGATTGATCCCTTTCCAAAGAAGTATTCAGGTATTTGTCTTCAATCTCATTAATTCTGTCTTCCATTGCATCAGTTCTACTCCTTTGCCCTTTCAATGTCTTATCTAATTCTGACAATTTAGTATTAATCTTCTGGATTTCTATCTGTAGATTTTGAATCATTTTTAAATTTTCATTTATTTTGTCATTTTGTTCTTCTATTTTCTTCTGAAATTCTTCTAGAGTTTTATCTATGTTTTCCTTGATCTGTCTCTCAATTCGTTGAAGGTACCTAAATAAAATTCTTTTGAATTCCTTATCAGGGAGTTCTAATTCTGCGTCTTCCTCAGGGATGTGTTTTGGGTCTGTATCTTGGTCCCTTGTTTTTCCTGCTTTATCTTGCTTCTTTGTGTGAACTGTGATGCTCTGTTGTCTCTAAGGCATTGTGAATTTTTGTGTTTATATTTAATTGGTGATTGTATGTTGGAGTGACTTGCCCATGACTTTCATTTTCTTTGTATGTTATCTACGCAAGCAGGGTACTGTGCTGTGTTCCTCTATTAACTAGTTGAAGTACTTATACACTTACCACCTGTCTCCTTTCCCATTGTCAGCCTCTTGTATGTCCCTGCCGACCTTGGCAAACAGAGCTTATTCTTAGGTCCTTGGAATCTCAATGAGAATGCTATCACTTTAAAATACAAAATGGTTGCCACTTGTAAAGATTTAAAAGGGCTGCACCCTTGGTCATTTTAAATATCCAAAATGGCCACCGCTTGTAAACATTCAAAATGGCTGTGCCCTCAGTCACTTTAAATATCCAAAATGGCTTCCATGTGTAAATAATCAAAATGGCTGCACCCTCTGGATGGTAAAGTCAACAGCTCGGGTTGTCTCTCTCCTTGCTGTTTCCCTTCCTAGTCATAGGCCACTAGTGAAGTTGTCCCTGAGCTCTTGGTGACCAGGGCTGTTCTTTTGGTCAATTCTCAGGTCCCAACACCACTTGGAAATATTCAGTCTGTTGGTCCCGTCAGAGTTGCTGACAGTCCGCAGCTTTGACCATCTCTGTACTCACTGTTTTTGTTCAGGTTTTTCCACTAGTTGGTGCCTAATCCACTTCTGTATAGTTCCTTTCAAAGCTTAGGGCTCCAGGATTATCTTCTGTATCTCTGTTAACTGGTTTTTCTTTTCTTTGTTTAAGAGGGTCTGTGTCGCTTGTCTGACTATTCCTCCATCTTCCAGCTGTTTCTCCTCAATTTGAGTCCTGCCACATCAGCAAATGGAGGTCTCAAAAGCTTTACCTTATATATATCATTAAGGCTGGTTCTACTCTGATGATGCAACCCTTTCCTGGTCCTATTTTGAAGGTCTTCTGACCTAAGTGGCTTATCTTCCTGAACTGTATTGGACAATATTTCTGGGCTATTCATAAAGTTGTACAGTAATGTATCAGACAGTGTTCCTCTGCTGTTCATAAGGTTTTCCCTGGCCAATTCTTTGAGAAGTTGATGGTCTCATCCTGTAAGCTGTTAAAACCTGTGTACCATGTGCAACCCTACTGGGTTTGAGACACCAGTGGCACAGCCTCAAGCTTCACAGCAACATGCCACCACAAGACAAACTGACAGACAAGTTTGTCTCCCTTAGCTGTTCAAAACCTCTCCATCCTCCCCACCTTCCCCTTACATAGATCCCTGCCTCTTTCCTGCTGCTTGGGAGGGCTGTGGCCTGGGTCCTTGCCCTTACCTGGATCCCTGCCTCTGCTATCTCACTCTGTCTGGGTCCCCCCCCCCCAGCCTCTTCTCTGCTTTCCTGCCGCTTGGAAGGGGTGTGGCCTGGGAACCTGCCTTACCTGGATCCCTGCCTCTGCTTCCTTTGTTTATGGGATTATAAACAATTGTTTATGGGATCAGTTTTTTTGTTTTTAATTTTTTTTATTCACTTTTTTCAAGGCAAGAAAATTTCAATTTCAAATTTTCAAGATAAGAAAATCCAACCAAAGGAGCGTATTAAACTTTTCTTTCTCTTCTTTCTCCAAACATTCATGGTCCTTTCATTTATAAATTTAGTTTACAAGACCAGGTCCATTAGGGCCTCATCCCAGTTCTGATTCCATCCCTCTTCTTCCCCCTGTCCACATTCACAACTCTTCTACGACATTCCTTTACTCTCAAGTCAGACCAGACCACACGTGTCAGTGCATGTCTATACTCCATGTGCTAATCTGTACAAAACTCAAAACCAAATTCAATGCCATTGAGTCGATTCCAACTCATAGTGACCCTTCCCTGGGTTTCTGAGGCGATATCTCTACAGAAGTAGATTGCCCAGTCTTCCTTCTGAGGAGTGGCTGGTGGGTTTGAACTGCCAGTCTTCTGGGTAGCAGGCAAATGCCTTAGGCACTATGCCACCAGAGCTCCCAAGAGCTCAGTTGATGGCTAAGCCTCAGTCCTCCTCCAGGATACTCATTTTGGGTGTTAGAAACCCTCTGTGTCTGAATACAGAGTCCCTGGGTGGTACAAACACTTAAAGCAATTGGCTGCTAACGGAAAGGTTGGTGGCTTGAGTCTACCCAGTGGTGCCTTGGAAGACAGGCCTGACAATTACTGCCAAAAAATCAGCCACTGAAAACTTTATGGAGCACAGTTCTACTCTGACACACATGAGGGTCACAATATGTACAGGTTCTCAACTCAAGAGTAACTGGTTGGTTACTGGTGACTCAATAAAGAGATGTTTAATGAGGCTTTTCCTATTGTCTCAGCGTTCAGCCAAGGCTGCAAAGCTAAGGACATTGAGTGATGGTGCTGACACAGAACTAAGAGGACCTCACACCAGACCAGGGACCGTCACCCAGCTCAGTCTATATGTGATGCCTGGGGATTCACTTGAGGAAATGTTCTTTGGGGCAGCTTCATAAAGGTGGTGTTTCCCTTTTCCTTCTTATAGAGGAAAGGAGCGATTCCTCCAACAGCCAAGAAAGGGAGCCTCAAGCGAGCCTCTAACAAAAAAGTATTCCCGCTGCCCCTTGTACTGCTGCCAGAGTAGATTGTCAGAGGGTTCTTGGGAGAACCTGAGAGCTGTCTGCAGGAATTTGGGGGCATACATAAAGATTAGGCAGGTGTCTGCTTCTTGCCTGGTGATACTTGTGACAGTTGATGACCACAAAAAAGAAGCCAGCCATTGGTGAAACTGCACTTTCACTACATAGTGGGGCAAGAGGCTGCCATGATCTGGGTGGATGGTGCAGGTGGTAGCTGGCCTGAGCTATCTTGCGAGGTCTTGCTCAAGAGGAGTGATGTTGGGCACTTAGAAGTCGGCCATGACAACAGACATTTAACAGCCAAGCTTCTTAAAATAGCCTTCACCTTTCCCCTCTCACCTCTCCATTTCCTACCCAATTGTGGAGGTGCTTAAATACACATTTTCCTGGTTTTGTTTTTTATCCATATTCAGAGAAAAATGGACAAGCTACTAGGCAGCTTGTCTCTGAGTTCCTTCAAGGGCAAAAAACTCTGTTCTATTGTTTAAGGGCATGGAACTGACCTGCACATACATAAAGTGATCTTTGATTTTAAAATATTGGCATGAAATTCCCAAAACTGCATGGTTTCCAAAATTTTGTTTAGTGAGAAATTTCTTGAAAGATTGAACTCCTCCCTCCCCTGACCCACCCTGCTCACTTACCCTGCAGTATTGCATACACTATCCATCAGAGATATTTCTAAGGCTTGAATAGCTAGTTCATCAGGTGCTGCCAATCCTTTATAAAGATGCCAATTTAACATAAGTGCCAGCTCTGTTCCCGGCTGGTTGTTTAATATATAGCGCAAAGCATCTCCTATTGAAATGTGCTTTAAGCCATATTCGCTTGCAATTTTTTTGGCAACTGAAAAACATTAACATTTTGAAAATATTTCATTTCACAAATTCATCATTTAACCTTTGTTTCAAACTCTAGTTAATGGGAGCAATAGTAAGCTAATTTCACACTGCTCAAAGAAATTCTGAAAATTAAAATTGCCACATTTTACTGAATTTTTGCTGTCAAAGTCAGTCATTATTACTACTTCAGGTACATGGTTGATGGAGTTGTTTCATAGGCCAACTCTATTTTTTTTTTCTCGAAACTAAATCATCATTTAAGTGTTTTCTTCTGCATAAAGTAGCAATATTTTTAAGATTATTGCAAGGTATCCTATCTGTGCTATTACTGTTTGGTATTATGTTCAAGATAACCATGTAATGTTCCTGTTTCACTGGATATACTTGTCTGACCATTTGCATACACAGTTCTGCAATCAGGTTAGCATACTCTATCCAATTGTTGCTAGCTGCTGTCGAGTTGTCACTGACTCGTGGTGATCCCGTAGAACAAAACATTGTCTGGTTCTGTGCCGTCTACCAAGGAGCTCAGGTGGCACAATGCCTAAGGCATTTGACTACTAACCAGAAGGTTGGCAGTTCAAACCCACCAGCCGCTCTGTGGAAGGAAGATGGGGGCAATCTACTTCCGTAAAGACTTACTGCCTTGGAAACCCAATGAGGGTCACTATGAGTTGGAATCGACTCATCTGCAGTGGGTTTAAGTTTCTTTTGGGTGCCATCTATCAGACAATATTCTGTTGTGACCCATAGGGTTTTCATCGGTTAATTTTTGGAGTAGATTAATAGGCCTTTCTTCCTAGTCTTAGTCTAGAAGCTCTGTTAAAACCAGTTCACCATGAGTGACCCTGCTGGTATTTGAAATACTGGTAGCATAGCTTCCAGCATCACAGAAACACATAAGCCACCACAGTATGACAAAGTGACAGATGGGTAATGGATTTATATGGTTAGGTTCAAGTTAATCCTCTAAGAGATAATTTCTAAAAGTTTTAATGGCATACTACTTCCGTAGTGATACCACATCAGAAACCCAAGGAGGGGTTGCTATGAGTTGGATCCGACTCGACAGCAGTGAGTTTGTTTTTTGGTTTTAATATGTTTATAGAGATTTACCAGTGATAACGCCAATTTTCTTCTGTAAACTTATTTGGTATTTTCAACTATTCCATCAGAAGGCTGAACTAGATATTGGAATTCCTATTTTATAGCTGAATTGAAGCCCACTAAAATGGAATGATTTGTCCAAGGTCACACAGATGGTTCCTGCTATGGACTGAATTATGTACCCTCAAAATATGTATTGGATCTTGGCTGAAAGCAGAGAATACCAAAGAGATGTTTACCTACATTTTATTGACTATGCAAAAACATTCAACTGTGTGTTGAATTATGGAATTATGGATGGCATCGTGAAGAATGGGAATTCCAGAACACTGAATCTTGTGCTCTTGTAGAACCTGTACACAGACCAGGAGGCAGTTGTCCAAACAGTACAAGGGGATATTGAGTAGTTTAAAATTAAGAAAGATGGGTTGTGAGGGTTGTATCCCTTCACCATACTTATTCAATCTGTATGTTGTATAAATAATCCAAGAAGCTGGACTATATGAAGCAGAATAATGTGGCATCAGGACTGGAGGGAGATTCATTAAAAACATACAGATGACACAACTTTGCTTGCTTAAGATGCATATACTGATAAAGACCAAAGATTACAGACTTCAGTATGGATTACATCTCAACATAAACAAAAGTCTTCACAATTGGACAAATAAGTGATATCATGATAAATGAAGAAAACATTGACATTGTCAAGGATTTCATTTCACTTGGGTCCACAATCAACACCCAAGAAGACAGTAGTCAAGAAATCAAACTACGTGTTGTACTGGGCAAATCTGCTGCAAAATATCTCTTTATCATGTTAAAAGATGGTACACTGAGGACTAAAGTGCACCTGACTCAAGTCATGGTGTTTCCAATTGCCTTATATGCATGTGAAAAGTGGACAAAGAATAAGGAAGACTGAAGAAGAATTGATGCATTTGAATTATGGTGTTGGCAAAGAATATTGAATACACCATGGACTGCCAGAGAATGAACAAACCTGTCCTGGAAGAATAGCCAGAATGCTCCATAGAAGCGAGGAGGACAAGACCTCATCTCATGTACATTAGACATGCTATCAGGAGGGACAAATCCCAGAGAAGGACATCGTGCTTACAAAGCAGAGGGTCAGAGAAAAAGAGGACTGATGCAGTGCTACAGCAACGAACTCAAATATAGCAATGATTGTGAGGATGGCTCAAGACCACACAGTGTTTTGGTAGAGTTGCTATGAGTCAGAACTGACTTGTCATACTGTGGTTGCATGCATGTTGCTGTGATGCTGAAAGCTATGCCACCAGTATTTCAAATAACACCAGCAAGGTCACCCATGGTGGACAAGTTTCAGCAGAGCTTCCAGACTAAGACAGATCAGGAAAAAGGACACGGCCAGGTCCATTTTGAAAAATACTGGCCACTGAAAACCTTCAGAATAAAGTGAAAGCTTGTCTGATATAGCGCTGGAAGATGAGGCCCTCAGGTTGGAAGGCACTCAAACTATGACTGGGAAAGATCTACCTCCTCAAAGTAGAGTTGACCTTAATGATGTAGAAGGAATAAAGCTTTTAGAACTTTATTTACTGATGTGCTATGACTCAAAATGAGAAGAAATAGCTGAAAAATCCATTAATACTTGGAATGTGGATTGTACAGAGTATGAATCTAGGAAAACCGGAAGTTATCAAAAAATGAAATGGAACACAAAGCTTGATATACTAGGCATTAATGAGGTGAAATGGAATGGTATTGACCATATTGAATCAGACAATCATATGGTTTACAAGGAATGAAAAATTAAAGAGGTATGGCATCACATTCATCATCAAAGAGAACATTTTCAGATCTATCCTGAAGTACAATACTGTCAATGATAGGATAATATATATATGATTACAAGGACAGCCAGTTAATATGACTATTACTCAAATTTATGTACCAACCACTAAAGCCAAAGATGAAGAAATTAAAGATATTTATCAACATGTGCAGTCTAAAGTTGACCAAACATGAAATCAAGATGTCGCGATAAGTATTGGTGATTGGAATGTGTGGTGGTTATGTTTGTGTGTCAACTTGGCTAGGCCTGGTTGAGTGGCTGGGCAGCTGGATGTAGTATTCCCCATGATGAGACTGGTAATCAACTTCATGGTGGAATCTACTGTGAGCAGCTGAGTAGCTGCCTTTGGGTATGTGGTCTGCTTCCTGTATATAAGGAGAAGTTTTGAGAATGGTCTTGAGCCTATGGCATGCTTGGACCCTGCATGTAGCCGTGTCATTGCTCAGCAGCCTGCTATGCTCTGCCGACCTTGGGACTTACAATGGACTTATATTAATGGCCTGTATGTGGTTAGGTAACATCGGGACTGTGCCATTTTACTTGTCAACCTTGGGGCTTCTCAGCCTCAGCAGCTAGTAGCTGTCTGAGTGAAGAAATGCCTCTAGCTCTAGTGGACCGGGAGCAGGAGGCAGAGCTGTACCCCAAAGCTGAGGGGCTTTCACCCAGCCCCTAGAGCCTGGCACTTTGAACTTGGACTTAAAGCCTCCAAATTGTAAGAATAAACTCCTGTTTGTTTAAGGCATCGCATTTGTGGTATATTTCTTGTCAGAGCGGCACTAGCACTAGGTAACCAGAACAGAATGCAAAAGTTGGAAACAAAGAAGAAGCATCAGTAATTGGAAAATAGGCTTTGGGTGATAGAAATGACTCTGGAGATTGCATAATAGAATTTTGCATGATTGATGACTTATTCATTGCAAATAACCTTTTTTTCAGCACCACAAACGGTGACTGTAACACATGGAACTTGCCAGATGGAAAACACAGGAATCAAATCAACTACATCTGTGGAAAGAGATGATGGAGAAACTCAATGTCATCAGTCAGAACAAGGCAATGGGTTGACTGTGGAACAGACCGTCATCAGTTGCTCATATGCAAGTTTAAGTTGAAGCTGAAGAAAATTAAAACAAGTCTACGAGAGCCAAAAGATGGCCTTGAGTATGTCCCACCTGAATTCAGAGACCATTTGGAGAATAGATTTGATGCACTGAACACCAGTCACCAAAGAACAGATGAGTTGTGGGATGACATCAAGGACAACAAACATGAAAAAAACAAAAAAACAAAAACGCCATTAAAAAGATAGGAAAGGAAGAGAAGACCAAAATGGATATCAAAACAGACTCTGAAATGTTCTCCTAAAAGGACAGTAGCTAAAGCAAATGGAAGAAATGGTGAACTAAAAAGGCTGAACAGAAGATTTCAAAGAGTAGCTTGAAAGGACAATATAAGTATTATAATGACATACAAAGAACCAGAGTTGGAAAAATCAAAGGGGAAGAACATAGTTAGAATTTCTCAAGCTGAAAGAACTGAAGAAAAAAAAATCCAAACCTCAAGTTGCAATGTTGAAGGATTCTATAGGCAAAATACTGAATAACGTAGGAAGCATCAAAAGTAGATGGAAAGAAAACATAGAGTCACTGCACTGAAAAGAATTGGTTGATGTTCAGCCATTTCAGGAGGTAGCATATGATCAAGAACTGATGGTATTAAAGGAGGATCCAAGTTGCATTGAAAGAATTGGTGAAAAACAAGGCTCCAGGAATTGATAGAATATTCATTGAGATGTTTCAACAAACCATTGTAGCACTGAAGTTGCTCACTTGTCTATTCAAAGAAATTTGGAAGACAACTACCTGGCCAACTGAGTAGAAGAGATCCATATTTGTGCCCATTCCAAAGAAATGTGCATATATAGAACAATATAATTACTATCACTCATAGGTAAAATTTTGCTGGAAATAGTTCAAAAATGGTTGTAGCAGTACATCAACAGGAAGCTCTCAGAAATTCAAGCTAGATTCAGAAGAGGACATGGAAAGAAGGATATC